ACCCTACTGGTTGCGTAATTTTAAGGCCGTTGGGTATATAAATTTGAATATGCAATTACTTTTAGAACCCAGTCCCCCTTTACAAGTAATTCTTTTATCACACCTTTACTTTGAAAAATGTTTACATTGTCAAACACAGAAATAATATAACTGAAGTCCTTAAAATCATGCAATTAGTAGAATAGTTAAAAACCCCCATGGAAAGCTTTTATAGGTGGCGATGGGTCACGTGACCTCATTTGCCAAATTGACACAAAATAACGATGTATGTGTCTGACAAAGTTTCACACGGCTACTATAAAAGTTTGAAAGATAGGTAGACCATCTCACACCTTTTCAGTGAATAACTGGAGCCAGCCCATGCCTTAAATAACTTGAGTTCATGGTTTGTCTGTATACATTGCGTAGGTTCTCTAGAGCAACTCGAGTTCATCTGGGCAAAGTCCTCATCATAGATACTACGTTGCCTGGCTATATTAACACAGAAAGAAATAAGAGAAAGAAATGGGAAAAATATCAAGTCATTGTAAGGGAAATATCAAGGCGTTGGAGCCATTGTGGGAGGTGTAGAAGTGACACCGAAGTCACTTGAAAGAAAAAGGATTTCCAAATAGGCTTAGAACTTTACAAAAGTCTGCACTTCTTGCCACGGACACCATTTTGAGAAAGGCCATTGAAGGCTAAAGCCTTGGGACAGGACCAGACTAAAGGTAAATATTGTTGTTTCCCGTGCAATGAGCAACTGGATCCTGAAAGGAGTAAAAAAACCATACCCAATGTCCAGTGTCCCCCATGGCGTGTTTGTTGGGTGAGGGGGGGGGGGGGGGGTAGAAAGTGGGGGCACTTATCCCTTGGGACTGGCCGGAAAAAAAATCGGAAAAAATCATTTTTGCAGCGCCCTAAACAAGGGGAGATTTTTTCGGGTGGGGCGGGTTGGCCTCCCTCCAATCCCTCCCCCCTTTGCCCCCCTTCCTCTCACCCTTTCCTAAAGAAGATGGACGGAACATGGTGTAAGAGAACACCAAAAAAAAATAAAATTTTGTGGTCCCCGGAGAAAAGACGAAAAGAAAAAAAAAAAAAAAAAAAAACACCCCCCCGTCGCCCGGGGCCCCCGGGGGGGGGGGTGGGGGGGGGGGGGGGGGGGGGGGGGAGTATGAACTATGGGCACCTATACCCTAGGACTAGACTGCAAAACAATCGGTCAAAATCATTTTTGCAAGGCCCGTAACAAGGCGTGATATTTTCGCGTGGAGCGCGTTGGCCTCTCTCCAATCTCACTCTCCATTGTCACCCTTACTCTTCAACTTTCCTTCACCTCGCGCGCGCGTTCTTGACCTTGGCAAAATACGGGCTTTTTTTGCAGTCTTCCAGGACACTTCTTAGAAAGAAGTGAAAAAGCCTCGACGCTGAAACTTAAATTTCACGTAAATTTGCGGGGTCAGCTTCTCAAAACTCCCTCTTTAATCTCAACAAAAAATATTTATATTTCGTTCTAAAGTAAAAACACAGGTTTTTATCTCGGTCTCGAGGAGCTAGTTAGCTCGAAAAGGTAAAACGAACCATGTCCTATACTTTGAGTAAACTGTTAGGATAATGAAATGTGATAATGAATAAGGAAAATGTTACTTTACGCGTAAACCAAAGAAATTTTGAGGAGCGCAGTTTTATCTCCCTGCAGATTTCTGTACGCTCCCATCAATCAGTTTGATATTCGGATTGCGTGCAGTCCTTCTAGGAGAAAACAATTTGCGGTTTAAGGACAAGATCCGGGAAGGAAGTCAAAGACACCGAATATTTATCACCATAATCTCCTTCAAAGTAGCTGATTCAGTGTTCAAGCTTTTAGAGAATGTAACTGTGAAAATCCCTCCCTAATTACATTGATTAAAATCGCCATGAAATTTGAAAGACCGGATAGCCGAGATTTAGGGTCAGCACGTAACAAAAAAACCTAAGGAAAGTGCCGTACGTCTTTGTGTTTCAAATAAAAAAGACTCAGTTATCTGGAGGGTGGGACTATATTCATCTCTTCACTTGAATATCCTCGCTGAATTATGTGGATGCAGAACTTTCCTACCACCTTAATTGAGATTCTGCTATAATCCGGTATTCTAAATCACGAGAAACCCATTAAAGAAGGCCCAAACAATCGAGCTTACCTTCAGCAATTTTGATTGGCTCGGTTTGATGTATTTTACGATTGCAATTTTTCTATTTCTGCATGCCTAACGCTTTGTTTCCTCCTTCTACAATCTACCATAAATGTTCAATATTACGAGATTAGAAATCTCCTCCAGCGCTCTTGTTCAGACATTGTAACGAGATCGGCATCATGTCCTCCTTATCCTCACTCAACTCACGGCGTGAAAAACCCGTTATCCTAAAAGACTCTTATTTTCTTCAATGATTATTTTACATTCACAGCACCTCCAAGAAATCTCAAGTCACGACACTAGCCTGCGTGAATACAGCCATCCCTGGATCCTCGCTCCTCGCCGCCTGGGACGTTCCCAGGGAGCGGACAAGTCTATGATACCTGTGAGGAAGTTAGCCTGATGAGAGAGGGCTGTATTCCAGCGCAGACTGGTCATGCACTTTGTTTACGTCCAAAGCCTACAAATAATTTGTACTGATTCAGGTTTGGATGGAATTAAGCCAAAATATTGTAAACTTTAACTAAAATTACGAGGCCTTCAATTAAATTCAAGGCCATTCAGCTCACATGTAGAGCGCAGGATACAAAAAAACTCTGTCCGCGATCATGAAAGTTGTACTTATTTAAACCTATACAAAGTCGGCGGGTCTACTTTTTCCATGTTAAGACACTGAATGCAGTTTTATATAAACCTCTAGTTTTTTACAATCATCTATCACGAAACCCCTTCATAATAAATGACAGTTCTTTTCCCCCAGTTATAATGTGATGCATGGATCAAGACCCCGATATAACCTACCCCTATATCACAAGTCCCCTGGCAATGAATAGCAGGTGTGGATTACCCTCCAGACGTATACGCAAACACCGTACCATTGCACCGCAATAATTCTGACTACCAAAATAACAACAACACAACTGACAATAATAACAACAAACTGCATGTTTTCATTTCATCCATAGTAATCATTTACTCCTCTTACCAAATCTATGTGCAACGAAAACGCTACGTGGCTCTATCAGACAGAGTATTAAACTCAGCTACAATCCTGAATTTCGTTCACGTGTTGAAATATATGAAAGGTTGGGCAAATTTGTCGGTAAAAAGTCCCAAAAGGCGGATGCGTTTTGTGGCAGTGAAAAAGTTGAGAAGCGTTCTGGTTTTGCTATTTATTCATATTTTAGGACAGTGCATTAACAGCAGTTAAAAACGATCCAAAGTTCTAAACTAAGTATGTGAAAGGGGTACCATCTGTGAATAGACAGTATAGGAAAGGGGTATCTCTTCAGTCAAAAATGGTAAATAAAAGCAGGTAAGGGGGTGGACCCTGGAGCGGAGCCTCCCCGTAGAAAACTTTGTTGAGTACCCCCACCCCCTCACCCGGGGTCCTCAATCCGGCTCCTGGAAAGAGAAAAACAAATTGGGGACCAACAGCAGGCACGATTATCACTTGCAATACCCTTCCGGTTCCGTTCTATATGGTTAACCGCAGACAAAGATTACAGCCCTCTTAAAGAGCCATTGTCATTTTGTTTTGACAAAATTATAATTCTTCAAGTTGATCGCTTGCCTAAAAACACTGCCGTGAACCCTCTGGTGACCTTTCTACTTGACTGTAGCACGTGATCAACCTTGCCATTTCTCGACACCAGGACGAGGTTGGGCGCGTCATCTCTATCGCGAGAAGCTTGGAGATACCCCCAAAAGGAGAACTTCGGCAGATTTCTGCTTCCAGTTCTACACGGCCTCCACTAAAAAGGGTAAAATTGACTCTAAAATTAACCACCTCTTATTTAAAAAATTAAAGCAGTACATGTTCCTCTTTCCGGCTTTGCGAGGGCTCGATCTTATCAGTAAACACGCATGTACAAGCCGAGGATAAAACAAAATGAAACTGAATGAAAATTGCATCGTGAGCGGGTAACGGACCATGGGAAGCCACGTGAAAAGGAGGGAGTGTCAAAGCTTGTTTTTCATTAACGTCCCTTCCGAAAAAGTGGGAACCCAAGTTCGAGTTTGTGACTTTTCGGTTTCTTTCACTGATTCCATGGCACACTTCCAAGCTTTCAGCACCGCTTCCTGTCATGTCCCCTTTCAAATGTCGCAGCTAGTGTGAAGTTGGTATTTTTTTTGTATCCCAACTCGAACAGTAAAGGCGAGGAAAGGCCTTGTACATTTCGGAGGAAGAAGAGTTTCTCTACTTAACAGAACAAACTACGGTGATCAAAATCAATTTTCTTCTCACAATATTCATGCACCATTAAGAAAAAAAAAAGGTTATGCATATTTGTAAAATAATTACTGAAGGGAAAATACTTTTATCACTAATTCTTTTAAGGAAATACACGGAACATAATCTGGAGAATTTGTATGTAGATCATTTGGGTTTAAGCTTTATTTACACAAAAATCGAAAATGCTGGATTCTCATAGCCAACGAATCACACTAACGACCCTAGCTTTGAAAAGGAGGCCCTGAGGCAACTTAAGTGAGCTGGGGCACCTATCGAGGCCGGAACTGGTCGAACCGATGTTGAAAGTCAAGCCTATAGTATGTGTTTTATTGTTTTGAGAAGTAAAGCTGTTCACGTTAGATTTGTAACAAACAACATCGGCCCTTGAAAAAGTTGTGGAAAAATAGTGTACTGCATGGCGTCCAAATCATTGAAAATTGAATTTCCCTTTGACGTTTGGTAGGCATATTTTCACTAGTGGAGGCTTTGTTTGTAACAAGTCTAACGTGAACTGCTTTACTTCTCAGAACAGTAAAGCTCATGCTCTATTCAGGCAATATTTTGCTTCGTTACCTGTTGATTTATAATCTAGTAGAAGTATCTTACAATTTTCGCTTATAACATTTCACTTGAAAAGTAATTGTGATTAAAATGTTCACTGTACCGTAAAAACTGTTTTTTTTTTAGTTCCAGCTATTTTCTTTAGGCTCACGATAACTCAAACTCCCTAAACTCGAACTTTTTTCGTTTTTGTTTTACATATTTCCTTAAAGGGTCGAGTTATCGGAAGTCGACTGTAAATATTTGAAGGAAATAAAGGGGAAATCGACGGGTTCGAGTTAGCGAGGGTTCAAGTTATCGGGAGTCGGCTGTATCTCTGTTCAATTTTAGAAACGTAATTCTCGAAGCGATGTGTTTAACTTTTGCTAGATATATAAACGTTGGTAATTCTCGGAAGGAACCTTGAAATAGTCGCTGACTTTTCGATCCAATGCAGAGCACAATGATATACAAGTGATCCCCTCCCTGTAGGGACCTCGCTTATCGCCCATTCTAATCCCGTCTAATCGATCCCGGATCTTCGTATTTCAATCGACTTTCCAGACCGATCCCTCTCATGATCAGCGCACTGAAATTTTAAAACTTTGGCATAAACCTCCTCGAATCAGAGAAGTCGCAGATGAACTGGACACCTGATTAAACATTGCACCACTATGTATTTGTTTTTTCTGTGTAGCCCAAGGAAATGCGCTTGATTAGTTTTCGCATGATATGATTATTTCGTCTGGTACCTCATGCAATGATGTTTACCCGCTCAGTCGCAACACGCAATTTCATGATGGATTTTCAGGGTTTTGAGCTGTTCTTTTAGTGTGAATCGTTCACTGACAAAACAAAATATTAGCTACCGCATGAATATTGAAACCGAGTTATTTCTAGTTTGTTAGTTTCAGTCAGAGCCACCGCTACGGCCGGGAACCACAGTCTGTGCCGGGCTGTGGTTGAGTGCCAAACTGCCTATAAATTTCGCCTGAGACTTCCTTATGCACTCGGCTGTTACATCAAGTGTCAGCCTTTTTTCAAAAAAAGAAAGCGCTTAATCTCTCTGTGATTGTGTGCGTCCAATGTTTGCATAATAATTCAGGGGAATTTTTCCGGGTGCTTTGTGTGAAAGGAACTCACTTGTATATTTTGTTAAGCGCGGAATATGGCAACATACAGGAAGTTGAAGAATGCCATGTTAAAAACCGTAGCCAAATAATTAATAACCAAACCAGAAAAAGTTTTTAAGTTGTTTCGTGACGTCATAAATGATACTTGAGTCTCCAGACTTATATTCTTGAAGTTTTCAGGAAGCATTCGATATTCAGTTATTTCTATTTTTGACTGAGTACAATCGACAAAATAAGTTTATCGACTCGGTCCTGGTTTAAAATAATCCTGGCTATTTTCGCCGTCTTTCGTGCGAATGGAACAGTAATGGTCTCTTTTTCTTAAGACGGCTATATTGTCTCGATTTTTCATGGACTGAAATTTAAAAGGTCCTTGAATAGGCCTTTCAGACAAGCAGCTATCTCATTGGTTTGTCGAGTGTCTGTATAGGCCCTCCGCCACGAACCTTGTGCTATAATTGCTCTTGCTAACTTGATTACTTTGAGGCCGTTAAAAAGGGGGCAGCCATCAAACTAAACCCGGATACCACACGAGCACATTAATTTCCCGTCCGAAGTGATTAACTGCTGAGAGATCGAGATATAAGAATATTAAATGGCACGTTTTTCCTCCATGAATCTTTAGGTATCATGCAATCGTTTAGCCTCAGTTGACACTATTTTTGAGTTAAGCCCTGTTTTCTTTATAAACCCTGCACGAGGCTTTCATAAGGTTTGTCCTCAGCTGAGCCCGATTTACCATGTATTCTCGTTTAATTTTATATTGTCACCACGGGTAACGTGACTGAGTTGGAAGTAGAACGCTTGCATGCGAAGACGAAACTCAATTCTGTCTCTGTTTGAGTTTTAAAAAGGACAAATAAATTAAAATTGCTTGTCAAAGTCAAAATTGAGTTGACAAACTCAATCCAGGGCGAGACATTGACCTTGAAGGAACACTTCTACATTGCGTGCGTTAGGTTAAAAAAGAACTTCTATCGTTTGATGAATTATTCACAGCTGTTCCGAGCCACAACGATAAAAAATACTATTTAACAATAGCTCGTTATTATTTGCTCTGTTACTCTCGTTTTTTAACTTTTCTTCCTTTCAAAATGAAAAAACACGTTTGGGTTTTTTACTTTGCTCTATGTACGGATCATCACTGCGCTTTCCACGTGGTGTCAGATCAGAGAGCCGATTTGCTCTATTTGATCACGAATTCAGCTAGAACTGCAAATTACACCGATTTTCCTCTTGCTTTTTCCCTTTTCATGAAAGTTATTTTTTTGCGCGAGAGAAAAGAGATCGACAGGCAAACAATAGGATACAGCGAAATGAAACGCAGTTAATGGGCTTTCTACGACCAAAAACCGACATTAAGGTTGTATTGAGATTCGATGTTTGATGTATTCAGAATTGTCAACATGGCGCTAAAAGCTGTTACCATCAGCACGAAATAAAAACGGAGGCTAAAAACTAAAAAGAACAGCAAATCAAACAGACCTACAGCTTAATCCAATCTTATACGAAAATCTCTTGGTATATTTCTTGTATTTACGCGTATTGGTGGTCGTCAAAATATGTTTCGTGACTTCCCCCCTAATCTTTCCTCAAGATATACCACATTTGATTGTCGTCTGAAGTTTGCCTGGGTACTAGCACGTGTTCTATTACGTCATGCGATGGTTACCGGTCACACAACAGTTTGCCTTTATTACACAATATGGCGGACACGCGGCTCTACGATATTCTTGGTGTCAGCCCCAATGCGAACGATACAGAGATTAAAAAGGTAAGTTGGTTGTTTTTTGGAAGGCTGGAGTAGTCTTTGGGAAATTCTTGATGTGTCTATGTGGTTTTGTCCCTTTAACGTGGCAAAATTTTCTAGTCCTACAGGAAGCTGGCGAAAGAGTATCACCCTGACAAAAATCCGGACGCTGGCGACCGAGTAAGTTAGTTTTCTGGGCAATATTTCAGTGCTCAGTTTCTCAGAGCTTTAGTCAGTTTAGATACTAACTGTCATTGTTTTTGTCCAGTTTAAGGAAATAAGCTTCGCTTACGAGGTGCTTTCAAACCCTGAAAAACGCCAACTTTATGATCAATATGGTGAGAAAGGACTGCGTGAAGGAGCTGGAATGGGCGGTAAGTCAACTTATTTCGATGTTCGCTAAACTCGTTTCTTTTCCTGCAATTGAACGTACATTTTGAGCTTAAACATTGCAAACGACCCATAATTAGTTTTCCGTTTCGATATGACGTATTACGATCCATGTTTGGTTTTACCAAGGAAGCTGAATTAGAAAGTCTGCTGGTTGAAATTTGTTTCGCGTGCTTTTTGCTTTTGAACAACTTTTCGGTTATTTACGTCCTTCTAACTATCATTTATCCCTCAGGTGGTGGTATGGAGGATATTTTGTCCCATATTTTTGGTGGTTTTGGCGGTGGAATGTTCGGTAAGTGGATATTTGTGATCCGGCTGGCGCCTGAACATTTACGGTTCTAAGCATGTTTAGAATGGAAAAAAATGCCAAAAAAGCGAATCTCAACCGGAAGTGGATTAAGCTAAGACTCGAAAAACTGACAAATGATTTAGTTCTTTCACGATCTGCCAAGTTGCAGTTGTCGAAGTGGAAACAAAGTGGCAACATTATCGAGCGATGAAATTACACAGATTCTGTCAGTTGTAATCTTCTGCGGCCTTTCTTGGCCAAGGCCCCTGAATGGCGCAGCGCAGAAAGTCAACTTTGAGAAGATATTGGTGTCGAGATTTCGATATCAGCCCATGTCCTCAAAACTCGGTGATGAATTAAGAACATTCCTTGTAACTTGCGGCTCTTTTGGCTTACCTACGTCATGATATAATCCCTTTATCTTGTTTCGTTGGGGGAATTTCTGTAATGCCCTTTTATTTGGAAACTGTTACCCCCTCTTCTAGAGCGCACATAAATGTTCTATGCGCACACGACTGACACATCTGAAACAGGTTGAATGTGACCGCATATTGTTCTTATGCAGTTGTAGTATAGGACAAGTATTTTTAAATGCTTTATAAAAAAATTAAATCTGAGGCTTTTATGATTATTTTTTAAAGAAAACTGATCAGCCACTTTGTAGAGTATATTTTTTGTTCAAAAATACTGTAGCACTTTATGCCTGCATCACTTATTGTTAGAAACCTCTTGTCACCAGGGAAACAACAAGAAGACCTTGAGTATAGCATCCTGGCTGTAGATTACATACATTTTTAAAGGTGTACATTATAAAATTAATATAAACTTGTAACATACATTGTGGTATAGTAGATTATTAATCTTGGTCTTGAATGGATTAATGATACTTTGTATTTTTACCAAGGTGAATTACCAATTTATTTTTGACAGTAATTTTATTAAATTAAAATAAAAGTCGATGGCTTTCTCTAATATATTATTAGTGACTGATGAATAGACTTATTATCTAACTATAATTACGGAAATATTTGCCAAATGTAAGGAGAATAAATTATTTTTGTATATATTAATAATAAACTGAGAAAAAAGAAATATATGCATTTTTTGGTGGCTTAAAATTGTAGACCTCAACAGTATATTAATAGTAATTTCAATCATAATTTTACTGTTACTACTCCTGGGGAAAATATTGTTCTAAAGGTTGAAGGGAATTGTCAGATAATAATTTGTCTTAAAGGCAAGGAAGCACAAAGTTGATGGCGGGGTAGTGAAAGTTAATTAGGAAATGTTACTTTCATGTTGCCACCAGTGATTATAAATTTTAAAGTCGATGGCTTTTATCAGGCCTTCTGATAGCATGAAAAATTATGAGAAAATTCTGAGAAATTTCCAGGAGGTCACATAAATGAGGCAAAAAATATTTATGTGTTAAATTGTACAATTCTTTAGTCAGTAGAATTGACATAGAATGTTTTCTACAGTAGGTACACAACAGCAGTTCGGTGT